CGGCCTTGGCCTCGTCAGCGCTGTACTCCTTGTCGGAGGTGCTGTCCGACTGGTCGAAGGCGCTTGCCTCGGTCTGACAAGTGATGTCCGCCTGGGATGTACCGAAGTGCTTGTCGCAATGCTGTCCATCATGCGGTCGGCCCCGCCGTCGTGAGCGCCGAGGTGCGCGTGGAGCTTAGGGCAGAACGATGTCGCCTTAGCATTGTTGATGTGGCGATTGGCGAGGAAGGCGATTTCCAAGCGCTCCAAAAACGTCGCAGTTTCCCTATCGATGGCCTGGCGCCGAAATTCAACACGAGCGGCAACCAGGAACCCTTGATGACCAGGCCCTTTACGTGAACAGAGACTGCGCAAACATGGCCCGTGCAACTCAGAAGCGGTAGCTGCTGCCGACACGTCGTCTCCGGCCATCTGCGCGCCCAACCCATCAGGGACCACAAGAACTGCCGAGCCTTGAGCCAAAAATGACTACAGTCGGGGGCTTGACCTAACGAACCCAAAATAAGGAACGAGGCCCCTTTTCTCCATAAGTAAACTTCGATTTCCGATCGAAAATACAAGGACAACCTGAGGCAAGCTGCGAAACACTTAAGGAACGCGGAGCCCCTCCCCAACGAAAAGGGTTCCTTCTTCAGTGCCCCGACTGTACAGTGCGGGCGCGGCCGCAAGACACCCTCGCAAGAAACCCAGCCCTGAGAACCCGAGCGCGAGGTACACCTTAGGGGAAACCCGGAGCACCCTGAACGCAGCAGCTCCTTCAACGGCCGCGGGAAGTCACCACGCAGCGCGAGGAGCGAAGAAACCCAGGGCACCCTGAAGAAAAACATGTGGTTTCTTGATGCGCGCCCCCACTGTACGGACCAACACCAAAGGGGGGAGAAGGAGACCAGCGTACAAGAGGGTTCGTCCAAGACCACTCTAGGCCCGCCCCTTCGAGGAAGATGGGGGCGCAGGCAAGAGAGGTCGCGCCCCGACAGCTGCAGCAGCAGCCGCGGGCACGGGGGTGGGCGCACCTCGAGGTGCAAAGGGGGGAGAAGGAGGAGCAGGAGGGGGAGGTGGAGGGAACCACGCCACTCAGCAGGGCCCCGTTCTCCCACCGCACCAGGGACCGCGGGCGGCGGGGCCACCCAGAGCACGCGCCGACGGGGGAGACCTCCGCGTGACCGCACACGCCTCGGGAATCACACCACGAAGGAGCTGCGCGCGCCGAGCGCGAGCACCGTGGCAGGGAGGGGGGACGAAGGAGGAGGCCACCTCCCCGAAGGAGCGGAGCATCATCGCCGATCGTCCCGCTGCCTCCCCTTCCCCGCGCCGGCGCTGGTCTCCGCCGCCACGGTCGCAGAGAGCTCGCGGAACGACTGGAGCGGAAAGCGCTCGAAGAGCACGGGGGCGGACTCCTGGGCGCCAGGCCGCGCGAGCATCGTCGCACGCAGCGCTGCCCGCTCCGCGGCCTCTGCTCCGCCAGCCGCAGCCGCCGCGCCAGCAGCAGCCGCCCGCGGGTTCCGCAGAAGCCTCCCCGACGCCCGCGCGGTCAGCAAGACCGAGCGCGGCCGAAGGTACGGTAGGCCGCCCGCCGGCAGCTTACGAGCCGTCGGGCAGCCTGTCCTCCTCCATCTCGTCGTGGACCGCTCCGGCGCACGCGCCCGCTGCCCTCCGCAGCGGGGTGCGCCTCCGCGGCTCGCCGTGCCGCGAGGCGACGGCGTCGGCGCCGTCGCCGCCCCGTCTTCGCCGCGGCCGCCGCGGCGGACGGGGCAGCAGGCAGCGCAGGAGCGCCTTGGGGCAGCAGCATCAAACTCGGCCGCTGCCGTCGGCTTCGGCTCCCCCCCGCAAGCGGCCGCAGCAACCGTGCGCCGAGGCGCCCAAGCCAGCACCGCGGCCCGCACGGCGGAGTCCACGAGGCAGCGAATCTGCGCCTCGCCAAGGAAGATGATGGGGATGAGGAGGAGGAGGAGGATGAGGAGGATGAGGAAGATGAGGATAAGGATGAGGATGATGAGTATGAGGAGGAGGAGGAGCAGGAGGAGGAGAAGGAGCAGGAGGAGGAGGAGGAGGAGGAGGAGCATGAGGAGGAGGAGGAGGAGCATGTGGAGGAGGAGGAGGAGGAGGAGGAGGAGGAGGAGGAGGAGGAGAAGAAAGACGAGGTGTCAAAGGGTCAAAGTGTCACCCAGCGGACTTTTGCCAATTTTGCTTTTGCTTTGGAGCCCCGCCTCGCGACCCCAGCTGGCCAACCGTTGTGGTACCCGCCGCAGCGACTCCCGCCGGTCTCGCACAACCATCGTTCGCCGCAACAGGCGCGCAGGTGACCGTGACCGCGACGACCGGCGAGGGCCTCACCGGAACTCGAGGCCCCCCCCCCCTCCGCGGTTCCAGAAGCAAGCAGCTCTTGGAGGCGCCACAGGAGCCCTTTCCGGCGGCCGCGTTCGGAGCGCGGCACGGATTGCTCGTACAGGAGCACTCGCCAGAGCCGCCAGCGCCTGCTGGCCATCGCAGGGAGACCCCAGCCCGGAGGCCGGGTTTTTTTCGAGGCGCACCCAGCTCACGCCCCGCTCGGAGGCCAGCGCAGGCGGTGCCGCTCAAGCTGCGCACGAACAGCTTCCACCATGCCACGTCGTCGCGATCTGGAGCATGAGGTATATCCCCTGCACCGCCAAGAGCATCTCCTGAACCGCCGGCGCTCATCCCGAAATCAGGCTTCCCCTTGCCACCGGCGACGCTGGTAACGCACGATGCCCCCAGCGAAACGCCAGGACCATCCTTGATGAACTGGTCGGCAACGCGTACGACACCATGGGCAAGACCGGTATGGAACTACCCACCCCCGCTGGCGCAATCAACATGCTGTGCGCCACTATCCTTTTCTTTTTTTTCCAAGTCAGCGGACCGGACTCGTGTGATCTTGATTGCTATCCGCATCCAGGAGCCGATGCAACAACCGAACTTGCAGTAAGCGGAGAGGCAGTAAGCGGAGAGCGGGGGGGACAAATGGTAACAGAAAGCTGGCGGCACGCGGGGGCGGGACAGATGGTAAAAGAAAACTGGCGGGATCAAAAACATCACGGGCGCCACCAGCGGAACCGGCCACTGACCCGGGCAACGAGGCCAGGGCACCTTCGCCCACCCAGTCCCAGATGCTCGGACGCCAGCGCCCTCAAGATGGGGCGCAGAGGAGGAGGAGGGGGAGGAGGAGGAGGAGGAAGAGGAGGAGGAGGAGGAGGAGGAGGAGGGGGAGGAGGAGGAGAAGAGGAGGAGAAGAGGAGGAGGAGGAGAAGGAGGAGGAGGAGGAGGAGGAGGAGGAGGGAGGAGGAGGGAGGAGGAGGAGGAGGAGGAGGAGGGGGAGGGGGGGGCGGGGGAGGAGGAGCACTTCAAGAAGAGCATCAGCGCAGGCCAGGCCTGGGTTTTCCCCCTGTCCCCTGTCCCCTCTCAGCGAGTCGGCCAACCAGACCCTGCACCCGAATTTCCTCCAGAGCTCTTGGCAGGGAGAACCCCAGAGCGCTGCAGGGGAAGAGGAAGGGAAGGAGGAAGGACCCATGGAAGGGAAGGGGGGGGGGGGGGGGCAGAACGACGGCGAACAGGAGAAGTGAGTTGAGGAGGGGTGATTGCCTTGCGTTCCCCTGGTGGGTACCGAACACACCAGCGCGCGAGTGGGTGGAAGGTGATGCGAAGAGAGAGAGAGAGAGAGAGAGAGAGAGAGAGAGAGAGAGAGAGCAAGAATAGCAGGAGGGGGCGGACGGAGAGAGGAGGAGGAGAGGGGGATGATGATGATGATGATGATGATGATGATGATGATGATGATGATGATGATGATGATGATGATGATGATGATGATGAGGATGAGGATGAGGATGATGATGATGACGACGACGATGACGATGATGATGATGCTGATGAGGAGAAGGACGAGGGTGTTGATGATGTCAAATCGCTAAGTGAAGTGGAGGCGGAGAGGGGAGGGGGAAACGGAAATAATGACCCAGGATGACGTGTTGTTGATGCTATGCTGTTTGATGTTGCGTTGTGTGCTCGGTTTTGTATTTTGTTTGGTTGTTGTCATTGCTGTTGGTGCTACAACCTCTGCGAAGCCTCCAGACAAGATGAGTGAGTGCAGGAGGGAGGAGCACGAGCAGCAGGTTGCCAGAGCCGCCCCCCAGAACGCGCTCTGAACTCGCCCTGTACATGAACGACAACTTCTATCGGGGGCGTCCAAGAGCGGGGCGTCCAAGGGGGGAGGGCGCGCAAATCATGGCCGGCGGCATGTGCGCGGCCCAAGGCGGTTCCGGGGACGCATTGAAATGAGAAGAGGCGCCGTGAGATCTGGGGAGATATCATGGCCCCCGCCATGATGTCCCCCCCGCTAGTCATCAACCCCCCTCTTTGCCGCCCCCGATTCTAGAAGAAACTCTTAATTCCCCCGAACTTGTCGTTTTTTAACTGTCGTTCCAGGACGGGCTATTTTTTCGATTTCCGTGCGGCCGTAGACTGGCCCCAGACGGCGATGCCGCGACAATCACGAAAGACATGCGTCTTTTCGTATGCTTGTGCGTGCGTGTCGCTGGAAGTCTGGCCTGGACATTGCGCTGCCCCGACACATCCGCCACTGTGAAGGAAACACGGCGTCCTTAATATCCCAACTGTTTGACTGTTTGGAAGGGTGGCTGGGGCGTTGGTGGTTGAGCCAATGCCGGAAAGCACATAACGCCAAAACATGAGCCTTAACTTCCACACCAGGATGCAAATCTAGATTTTTTGTCGACCGTAAGCACAGCCAGCCGACCCCCCGTGCAGACTTCGAAGTGTTTGATGGCCCTGTTTGGGCAGCTTGTAGCGCAGGTGTACAGCAACAACTATTATCTCAAAAACACCATGTCGCTCATTCGCGAACTAAAACTTTCGACTCCGTCTTCGTGCGATTTGTTCGACCTGGATCGCTCCGTGAGGGGTCAGAGGCCCGCGTCTTGGGGTGCCAATTCTGTCGGCCTCCGAACTTGAGCCGTCTGGCGGTCCCTGTCCACCATGAAGCTCATGGACCCCAGTCGCCGCACCTTGCCGGGGCTCTGAAAAGGGGACCGCCGCGTCCGCAAAGACCTCCGACGCTGTTCTGTGTCTGTGTTTTTCTTCCTGCCCCCTTCCTACCGGCCACTGTGCCGTAAGCACTGAGTGTTGGCGGCGCGCACAAGGGGGTTAAAGGAGGGGGAAGGCTTCTCGGAAGGAGGCTGCTTCTTAGAAGGCGCAGGCCGTACATCTACATAGATAATGCCCGCGCCTTCTACCAAGCAGGGGGGCTTCTAAGAAGAAGCCCTCCCCCTACCCCAACCCCGATTTGCGCGGGGGCTGGGAGTGGAGTGTCCTCGGGTCCCTTCGACCTATCCGTGTCGAGTGATGTCTGCTCTCTTGAAGGCCTACAGTAGGGGCTCGACAGCATGAAACCTCCCACACGAAACCCAGCCCGTCCATGGATTTGTGGTGTGGCAGCGTCGCGCTCTCCATAACAAAACCGTGGAAACCCAAGAAATCCAGGGCACCCTGGAGGCAAGTACAGTACAGTCGGGGCGTTGACCTAAGGAACCCTACATAAGGAACGAGGCCCTTACTTCCCATGAGTTCAACCTCGATTTGCCATGGAAAACCTAAGGAACACCCGAGACAAACTGTGAGATATTCGAGGAACACCGAGCCCCTCCCCAACGAAAAGGGTTCCTTCCTCAGCGCCCCGACTGTAAGGCCTTTCTTGGCCTGGGTCTCCACCGCAGCCCCGACCATTCTTTGGGGCGCTCCTGGGCGCACCCGGGCGGCGCAGGGCGCTCCGAGCTCCTCCCCACCCTGCCCTCCCCCAGCCTCTCCCCCCTCCGCCCTTCCTCCCCTCCTCCCCAGCCTCCTCCTCCTCCGCTCCTCCTCCTCCTCCTCCTCCTCCTCCTCCTCCTCCCTCTCCTCCTCCTCATCCTCCTCCCTCCTCCTCCCTCCTCCCTCCTACCACCTTGGGCCGCCCCCTGCAGTAAGCACAGAGGTCACATTTAACAATCCCGAGCGTATCACAGGAGTACAGTTTAAAGCCACCCCGAACCCCCCTTTGGAGAGCCCCCCTGGGAGCACGGTAGGGTTCACCAATGATGGGGAGTCTGGAGGGCCCTCGTTTCATATTCCTGAGAGTACCTGGCTCGCAGAACGAGGTCAGATCGACAATCAGCATCACACAGAAGAGTGCATTTGGCCTCCCATAGCGCAATCCGTAGCCGTTTTGGCTGGCGGGCTCAAGCCAGTCCTAGCAGTCAGCACCACATTCGCAACGTGGGTCACTGCAGCTGAGAGGACGATTGTTGCCCACCACAGGCCAAGTGACAACGAGTTACCAAAGCCAGTAGCAATATCACTTGGGAGAGCGCAAGGGCCGTCCTTGCGTGTCAAAGAGGTGCACATGCCCAACAAAGTTAGAGCAGTTGCCTTTCGTGACATCATCGCTGGGTGGTGGTTGCAAGCACATACGGTTTTGCAGCAGTTGTTGAAGCATCGGCAGAACGGCAACGGTGAGACGCAGCAGAAGACCTTGCACCACGCGTGCTGGAGGTTAGCGACCACCTATCCCGACGGAGTTGCTCGTGGAATACGTGGCGACGATCCTTCGTGGGAGACTTGGGTGGGCTCACTCACAAATATCAGCAAAGCATCGGTGAATATTTTGACGTATCTGGAGCAAGCGGCTTTTCGGCTTGCCAAGAGAGCACAGAGTAGGGCCTTGTGAGAGTCTCTCTCCGAGTTTCGCTCTTGGGTCACAACGACAGAAGCTAAAGGAGCCCTTTTTCGCAGTCTCAGGGGGATGCCGCTCACGGTGGACGAGATCACTACCAAGAGCGGCCAGACCCTGTACCACCCCGTGGACGTAGTCGATCACAAAGTACAGTATTGGCATCGTTTGTGGGCTCCTGATAAAGTTGATATCCACGGTACAGCGCAGCTATTTCAGAAGATTAGGGAGGCATCCGAGACGGCGACGCTTCCGACGATCGAGGTGAGTCAACTGGATATGGCAGTGAGGCGAATGAAACCTCGCGCTGGGCTCGGAGTGGACAGACTCACTCCCGCTGATGTCCAGAGGCTCCCTCAGTCGGCGCGAGCCGAGTTGGTTGATTTCTATAATCAAGTTGAAGAGCAGCTAACATGGCCCTGGCAACTTCTTGTCGTCGAGGGCCGCCTTCTCCCCAAGAAGGCCCATGGAGACAGAGCGATTGGATTAATGTGTATGATATGCAGAATCTGGTCACTTATTCGAGAAGATATCATGAAACCTTGGACGGTGGAATCCAGCGAGAGCTGGGGCGCAGCACTGGCAGGGAACTCAGCACTCCGAGAAGCTTTCCTCACGACAGTCTATGAGGAGATCTACGGAGTGCTGGGGGTTTCATATGCGCATGCGATTTTAGACATACAGTCCTTCTATGATGCGGTGACGTGGGCATGTGTAGTATATGCAGCATTGAAGTTGAACTTTCCACCTGTGATTTTGTTCTTAGAGCTACAGCTCTGCACAACTCCCAGAATGATGACTCAACTTGGGTCAACGTGCAGTCCTTTTCAAGTTGGCAGGTCGATCATCCAAGGGCTAAGAAATGGAGCCCGTTTCGGCATGTGTGCTACACATTTTGTGCTTAAAAAATCACGGAAGGCAATCCAGGACTGCATGTACGGATTTGGATCGACGACTTGAGTGAATCAGTAGTTGGGTCAGAGCGCTCAGTTTTCAAGAAAATGATCAAATGTATTTCCGACACGTTCGACTTTCTCGCTGAGGAGAAGTTGTCCGTGGCATCGAAGAGCGTGCTCATCGCGGCCAGACACCAGCAGGCCAAAGCGATCACAACGGTTCTCCGACGCCACGGGCATCACCTGAAACCAGTCCTCCAAGCAGCATATCTCGGAGTGGACCTTGCGGCAGGACGACGTGCCGCGAGAGCGACGAGGCGTGGGCGAGTTGTTAAAGCGATGGGTCGGCATCGGAAGATTTCTAGATGGGCGGGAGCAAGCAGACAGTACACAGTCACAGCCACCTTGGAGAAGGTAGCAGGGCAGACGGTCGCCCACTACGGGCATCAAATCCATGGTATGTTTGGGTCAGAGCTTCTCAGTCTTCGTCGACGCTTGGGCACGGTGTGCGGCTCCAACCGCAGAGGCCGATGCCTGACCACGACGCTCGACTTGAGGGCCCCGCAGCAAGACCCAGCACTTCGCTTGAGAAAAGAATGTTTGAGTGAATGGCTGAGGCTTTGGACGACCACAGATGGCATCCGATCATCAGTTGTCAAGGTTTGGCCCACTATTTACAACAAAATGCAAGCGCTCGCCAGTACTGAAAGGGCTCGCCACGTTCGTGGGCCAGTCAGTGCAGTGATCGCGATGCTGATGCAGTACAAGTGGGAACCGATTTCGCCGTCGCACTGGCAACTACAGAGATGTGGGGGCACGCGCGAGCAGATCGAGTGGCACTTCAACAGCGAGGAGCTGACAGGCTCCGATGATTTCAGCGATATCTTATCTGATCTATCTATGTCAGTGATGGATTTATTATGGCAGCAGGCAGCGGCACATTACTGTGGGGAAGGGATGTCAACTGGTATCGACAACGAATCTCTTCGAGGACTCCTGAGCCGGCTCGCGCAAGCTCCGAAATGAGCTCCGCGGGCTGAGACTATGCTGGCAGTGGCGACGGGCGGCACATGGCCGAGAACACGGTTCGAGGTTGACGACCCTGAGTTTGTGCTGTGCTCACGGTGTTTGCTGAAGGGTGAACGCCATGCCGAGACACAGTTGCATCGGTGTTGGCTTTGTCCTCAGAACACAGGGCACAAAGCGTATCGCGATTCAGATCAGTATGTGCCCCAAGCAGTCAGCCAGCACGAGCAATATGAATGTTTTTGGTTTCGAGGATTGCTGCCCAGATCATGGACGGAGGTACCAGTACCTTCCAAAGAGGAGCGGTGGACCTTCGAGCCAGAGCTACCTGACGGTGATATCCTCGCCTGTGGGGCAGATGTACAACCAGTATATGTTTGTAGCGACGCCAGTGGAGGAGCCGACACGTACTCACCAAACTAAGACGTGTTGGCCTCGGCTTCACCATCATAGATCAACGTGATCCAGTACGGTTAGGCCGAGAAGGATATGGACCGCTGCAAGGACGGCGGCAGACAGTGTATCGTGGTGAGCTAGCTGTTCTGGGGTATGTATTGAGACGTACACGTGAAGCAGCTGTGTATCTCACAGACAACGAGGGGGTTGAGAAAGGCTGGTCCGCCAGAATGTACCTCAGCCCGCGTGAGGCCAATTCAGACACTGACCTGTGGCAAGCCATCGGTGGGCACATGCACGAGGCTGAGGATCGACACGGCCGTGTCTCAGTCATATTCATGAATTCACACTTGTCGGAAGTGGAAGCTGCAGGGAAAGGATATGCGCCGTGGATGTGGCACGGGAACCATCGAGCAGACCAGCTAGCAGGTCGAGCTGCACAGGAGCACAGAGTACCTGCAGCTGTGCGGGCACGAGTCGCTCAGCACGAGAAGAGGGCGGAGCTGGTCTGGCGTCGGCTCATCAGAGCCACCATGGACGCCATGGCTGCGGATCCGCGGCCCAGGCGAGAGTCGGAAAAACTTCGGTTACATCCGCCCGCCCCCATCACTGTCGCTCGTTTCTGTACCAAGCATATCCTTGATGACGCTGGCCGCCAGTGTACCAGATGCAAGGGGCCCGCGACCAAAAAAATGTCTCGGTGACCGGTTGAATACGCCTTGTTTTGAACTGCAGTCTGTAGACGGTGTTGTTTCACGAATACCCCAAGGGTGTAAAGTCCATAGGGCGGGGGGTGGCTGCATTCCTCACACAACCTCAGGTTTCATGTTAGTTTGAAGCTCTGGTTTTGTGGAGCGTGCGGATTTTACTCCTCAGATCAGATCCGAGGGCTTGCATCCGAGTGTGTTCATAGAACCAACAACTCCCGACAAGATTATTTAAACAGGATCGAGGATGGGCTCTGGCCAAAGCTTTTGTCGTTGTC